AAAGCCCTACACCCCTAAACCTCTAAACCCTAACACCCCTAAACCTCTAAACCCTAACACCCCTAAACCTCTAAACCCTAACACCCCTAAACCTCTAAACCCTAAACCCTCAACCCTAAAACAGAAGCCAAGCCGGTAGAACTTCGAGGACGACTCTGGGAGGATGATGTGGGCGGAGACCGAGATCCGAATCCTCGAGGGCATCGAGTTGTGAGGCGACAAGTGGGAGTTTCCGAAAATTAGGGGTACCTGTAAAGGGATCCATAAGGGTTCCTTTAAAGGGATCTATAAAGGGAGCTATAAAGGGTTCTATAAAGGGTTTGGGGTTTAGAGTTTCCGAAAATAGAGGGTACCATATTTTGGGGTCCTTATAATAAGGATCCTACTATTTAGGGTACCACATTAGGGTCCCCTATTTTCGGAAACTCCCAAGTGTCCTAGGATGAGCCCCAGAGACTCCAAACCGCCTAAGCGAGGAATATTCTTGAAATAGTAACAAGGGCCCCTCTTGAGTCAAAGAGGTATAGCCAAAACCGCCTACTTAGATAGTGAACGGGGGAACTTTAAACTTTTTGGCCTTATATATTTGCCCTATCTTGGAAAGTTTGAGCTTTTTGGGGGGCGGTTGTTGAAGGAGAGAGCCCAAGCAAGGAACATGTTTGAAATCGTAACAAGGTTCCCTTTTAAGTCAAAGAGGTATAACGGAATATACCTGAAGGCAGAATAAGGTTCCCTCTGAGATTTAAGGTTTACGGTATTTTCCGTACTGAAGGGCTTTTGGAGCCTCTGGCGGCCAGGGTTTGGCCTTTTTTCGTTGGCAGAGGAGGAGGCTTTAAAAAAAAACAGCCGATTGGGCTCAGGCTCAGGTGTCATAGGGGCCTGGCTAATTACCCTTACTAGCTGAGTAGCTAACCTTTGCAGTAACTTGCATAATTTAGGGTTTAGGGTTTAGACTTTGGAGTTTAGGGTTTTGGGTTTACTAGCTAGCGATATGTTTTTTTCTGTTTCCCCTACTGTCTAATCTAGAGCTTTGATTATGAATGGTTCTGGGGACTGTAGGAATCGACACCTAGATTATCAATGTTGCGTTTTAGTAATGAGGCTTTCTCAATGCATTGGTGACAGCACTGTAGTCTTCTATGTTAATGCAGTTATGTATAATCGTGTAGAAACCCCAAATCTCAGACTAATCATTCAGGTTCCTATTCGACCTGTACCTGTTTGAGCATGCAGTACAGGTGTTTTGGCACAGCCACACAGAGCATCTGGCCCTGTGAGAACATGCTCAGGAGTTGAGACATTGTTTCGTGCGTAAAGGATCATGGGACTTAGTAAGTAGGTTATAATTGGGATTATATGTCCCCTAAGTGGGGTAACCCTAATTATAACCTACCTATAACCTTGCTTACTAAGTCCCATGAGCCTTTAAGTGCTGGCTGATGCCGGGCTCTGAGACTCCACAATCGCCAAAGTAGGTACGATGTATAACGGTTTAGGGTTTAGGGTTTAAAGGTTTAGGGCTTAGGGGTATAGACTGCACTAGGCCCCGCAGTATTTGTATATCTGGAGTCTCAGGGTCAGAGTTCAGTATATCCGTCGAATTGAGCAGTATCTTCAGCTTTGTCGGAGTCTATAAACCCTAAACCCCAAACCCTAAACCCTATAAACCTTAAACCCCAAACCCTAAACCCCCCCTCCCCTTAGAGGATCACTGCTCAATCGAATCTTTCTTTGCTCGATGATTTTTCAATTTCGATGTTTCCTCGCCGAGGCCGAAATTTCGATAAACGAGCACTGCAGAGGAACCACTTGTCGAGCCTCTGGGAGGACTTCAGCAGGAGTCTATTTAAGCTCCGGCATTCCAACAGTCTGCTCAGCCTGCCTCTTGAGTCAGGGGAGGCATGCAAGGTGGCTCAACTTTCCAGCGGAACGAACGAGGCAGTCTCTCGTTTCCCAACGGAACCTTGTGGCATTTAGTGGATACAAGAACACCGTGGCAGTTTTGCAGTCGGTTTTGTGCATACTACTTCCGCTAATGGTTTTCCCAATGATGACAAAGGTTCCCAGCAGCTTCCACGTAGCACGTGTGCTCATTCCAAGAGCTGTGTTGCCAGTCGCTGTCACCGTGCTCCCTAAACCCAAAACCCTAAACCCTAAACCCTAAACCCAAAACCCAAAACCCTAAACCCTAAACCCTAAACCCTAAACCCTAAACCCTAAACCCTAAACCCTAAACCCTAAACCCTAAACCCTAAACCCTAAACCCTAAACCCTAAACCCTAAACCCAAAACCCTAAACCCTAAACCCTAAACCCTAAACCCTAAACCCTAAACCCTAGCTCCTATGTCCCTGCAACTCTAAACGGCCCTGGAGCCTGAACTCGACATCGATCATCCTAAGTCAAATGGGAGTTTCCGATTTTAGAGGACCCCAATATAGTACCCTAAATAATAGGATCCTTATTATAAAGACCCCAAAATCCCTAAACCCTAAACCCTAAACCCTAAGGTAACCCCCGAATTTTCCGAAATTCCCAAATCCAAAACCCAAAGCTCCGAGACCCGGGCTTCGGGTTTCTCCAACCCCAATCTAGAAACCCTACTTGGAGGCTCATGGGACTTAGTAAGTAAGGTTATAAGTAGGTTATAAGAGGGATAACCCCACTTAGGGGACTTATAAGCCCAATTATAACCTACTTACTAAGTCCCATGATCCTTTAAGTAAACCCTAAACCCGTCGCGAAATGGCGCAGAGCTCCATCAGAAACAGGCATCGGCTTGCTTCTGCTGAACGCGGAAAAGCCTTGCCGGCATCGAGGGTTTTGGGTTTCGGGGTTCAGGGTCTATTTCGGATTTCAGCCCTCCTGAAACCCCTACTAAACACTAAACCCTACCCGAACCCCACATAACCTACCTTTTTAAGGACTTATATCAAGAAATCATGTTAGGCAACCCTTTAAAAGGTAGCTTCCTTCGGGTCCGGTAAACTCTAAACCGTTGCCGGACCCTGGGGACCTCTGGACCCTGGGCCCTGGGGACATGGATAGGTCCCTTTTTGGGTACCCTAAATATGAGGTGCCGTATTATAATACAGGGAACTCCAGAAAGTTGGAATATGGCTTCAGGGTAGGATACCCTATAATTTACCATAGAAGGGTGAGGATAATCATATTCCAACTTTCTGGCTTTACCTTAGGTGCCGTATTATAATAAGGACCCAAAAAGGGACCCTAATATTGACAACCACTCTGGAATGCTTTCTTTGCATGGGGCCTCAGTGCTGTTGCAAGGGTTGAGAGGCTGGGTTGTAGAGGATCTCCAGTAGTACCCTTATTCCCTTTTTGTAGTCCTAGGTTCCCTATAAAGTTACCCAATACCAAAAAGAGAGGCCTTTTTATTCCTAGGTTACTGGGTATCCTGGTTGTAGAGGTTGGGTTTAAGGTTTGGGGCTTAGGGGGTTGAGGGTTTCGGGTTGAGGGTTTAGGGTTTGGGGTTCAGGGTTTAGAGTTTAGGGTTTGGGGCTTTTTGTTTGTTTATCCTGCAGCTCTTAACACGATTCGAGGTTTCGAGGGCCCGAAACCCTATGCCCAAACCTATGGTTCAATGCAGGGTTTAGGGTTTGGGGGGTTTAGGGAATAACTCGTTATAGATCGCCGTCATAGTCCGTGCATTATCAGACCAAAAACACTCCAAGATCTTATTCCGTTCGTTGAGGCACTTATTCTTTATAGTAACTATATGAGCCCTCAAAATGGAACCCTTAAGGCATGCAGATTTTACTTCTTCGGGCGCTAATTATACCTCTTAAAGAGCTCAAACGCCAGACACTTTCGACGATGTGGCTAGCGAGTTCAGTGAGCATGCCAGTAAGGAGTGTTTTTCGCTTTGGGGGTTTTCCCAATGACACCCGCGCTCTGAGGAACACAAACATCTGTAGACTTGGTCGCCATAACGGTTTAGGGTTTAGGGTTCAGGGACCTCACTATTCAAAGGTCTGGGTTGTTTTAGGGTTTCGGTTTTGCCCTATGCTTGAAGGTTTGGGGTTCTAGGGTTTAGGGTGGAAGAGCCACTGAAGATGAACCCTCAACCGACGCAATCTCTGAAACCTCAACACATCCTTCCCCTTCTCCGCTGAACCTACAGTTTGAATGGATGCAAGCAATTATGATTGCAGGAGCAAAGGACCCTGAATCATTGGACTTGGGTTTGGGGATAATATGCCGTACGATATGGACTACAAGACGTACTAGCATATAACACGAATTCCTAAACCCCTAAACCCTTGTTCCTATGTATTTGGACTACTGTATTGGTTGCTACCCCAAGTCGGAAGCCCAAACCCGTCAAAACCTCGAAACCCAAAACGTACACCCGAAACCTACGCCTCAAGCCGCAAACCTTTCGCGTTTGACTGGCTGCAGCTCATCTCCGATCGTTTTCAACCCTAAACCCTAAATCGCTTGGTTCTATATCCATGGCTTCGTTGCTTGCGAACAGACGCATTGTACTACCAGCTCCAGGTTGAAATGATGTCATGGTGATGAGAAGGATGATGGTGATAAAGATGAGTATGTTGATTGAGATGATGATGATGATGATGACGATGATGTTGACGATGATGTTGACGATGATGATGACGATGATGATGATGCGTCTGCTGCTGATGATCATGATGATGCCGATGATGGCTGCTTAGCTGCTCTTGACCAGCTGCTTGTAGGTTGTAGCAATTTCTTCTAGGATGCCCAGTAGTACCCTTATTCCCTTTTTGTAGTCCTAGGTTCCTTATAAAGTTACCCAATACCAAAAAGAGAGGCCTTTTTATTCTTAGGTTACTGGGTTTAATAGCTGAAGACACGACACCCTTCGTAAACCCCAAACCCGAATCCCCCGACCCTAGAGCCTAAACCCTAGAACCTAAACCCTAGACCCTAGTCCCCAAAACCTAGACCCTAGACCCTAGACCCTAAACCCTAAACCCCAAGCCCTGCGGCGAATAGGCAAAGTCTGTTGGATGCGATTCCGAAGGATATGGGCAGGCCCTGGGAGGACCTCCACCGGGGTCCCTTTAAAGGGGTTCCTTTGAAAAGGGGTCTATAAGGGGTGTAGAACATAGGGGCCTTAATAAATAGAATAGGGGTTCGGGGCACATTCTACCTATAATAAGAAATCCCAAAATGGTTTTGGTACCTATGTAGGCCCCTACAGTTGCCGGGGGAGGGATTTAGGGAGCGTAGGGTTTGGGGTCGAGTTTATGAGTTGGGCTTTGGGCTTTGGGGTGTCTGGTTTGAGGTCTAGAGAAAGACCACACACGTAGAAGTCTCCGGGTCGGATATGCAAAAGATTCTATAGGATCTCCAGTAGTACCTTATTCCCTTTTTGTAGTCCTAGGTTCCTTATAAAGTTACCCAATACCAAAAAAGAGAGGCCTTTTTATTCTTAGGTTACTGGGTATCCTAGGGTCAGTGCCGTGTGGGATATCCAAGGTGTGGTTGTGGAATATTCACGGTCGCGGGCTTGTGGGTGAGAATTGTGTGCAGACTGGTCGCTTTCGAGCTTACAAAGGTTCCTACCCTAAACCCTAAACCCTAAACCCTAAACCCTAAACCCTAAACCCCTAAATCTAAGCTCTTAACCCTAAGGCCCCCTACAAAAGGTGGGTGACGTGTTGAAATCAAGGCTTTGGGAACGGGAGCCCGATCCTGCGCCCTAAGCCCCAAACCCCAAACTCTGAGGGTACTTAGAAATATTTTTTTGATTTTTGGTTTTTATAATCCCAAAGAAACAGCTAAAATTATTATCTTTGCTAGGGTTCTAAGTTCAGTATAGAAAACCCCAAACCCCAAACCCTGACCTCCCGCCTGCAGGACCCCAAACCCGAGGCGGGTGAGCGAACAATCGCTCAGGCACTTCGAGGCCAAGAGGGTTTCTGGGCTTTGGAGTACCATGCTTTAATACTTGTTTCTCAAAGGAGCCCTTATGAAACAAAAGTGTATACTTTTTTCTCCCCTGGTTACTTAAAAGCCCAGGTTTAGTCCTTATGTGTAGGTTCATCGCTTAGTTGTTGGGGGTTTAGGCTCCTGGGTCTGCAGTGTTAATCGTGGGGGTTAGGGAGAGCCGCGCTCTCCCTAACCCCGGGCCCTGACCTATGTTACTTGGAGGGGCAGGGGACGTAGTAAGGGTTCTTAAAGGGCTCTTTAAAGGGATCTATAGGGATCCTTAAGGGATCTATGGGGTGTAGGGTTTAGGGTCTACTTGGAGGGGCAGGGGACTTAGTAAGCAAGGTTATAAGCAGGGTAAAAGTTGGGGTAACTCCATATTTAGGGTACTTATAACTCTACTTGTAACCTACTTACCAAGTCCCCTGCCCTCCAAGTATAGTATGTTATTGTGTACAATAGTATATTAGATTATATACTATCGTACTTTGTAGTACACTCTAGTACACATAAGTATTTAATCGCGTATGGTCGTCTATGAAAGGCAGTATAATATGGTATGCTGTATTATTTTTTCGTCTTTCTACGTATTTCCTGCAGAAGACCCGAAAGAACCGTATAGAAAGGCACAACATCCCTCCACACCCTACACCCTGAAATCCTCAACCCTCCACTTTCACACATCCTGCAAAACACTGAAAACCCAAGCCCTCAAGACCCTGCAAGAATCCCCATTACCAGGAAGGCTGTTGGAATAGTCTACATTTCTCCCTTATTGGGCTCACGATCCTAGGTGTTATCGGGGGGAAGCCCTTTAAAGGGGACCCTTCTTGACCCTTCTTATGGCTCTCCTAAACACGGACCTTCATGAGAGGGTCGACATCCCCAAGCCTCGGTCCTAATTCCTATGGAAAAACTTATTGGCTGTATACTCAACTTTTCAACTTTTGCGGCTCTTATAAGGTAGTCGATTCTGAAAGTTTCAACTTTTATTTCCTTGGGTTTTGGGCCAGTGAGAAAAGGGGCCTAAATTATTGCCAAGTCCATTTTGGGGGTTCCCGATTACAGTTATAGTATAATGGGCCCCAAAACCCTGTTCTAGTTGTTAAGGCCCCCCCATATTACCAGGATTTTGTTGTACGAAGATCTGTGAGAGGCCTCGGGCAGACCTCCTACGAGCTGCCAGAGTGGAAGAAGTCCGGTGCTGAGTCGCGTAGTATACTATAGTATAGTATAGCAGATTAGAGCATTACACCTGAACCTTAACCTGGACCCTAGAACCCTAAAGCCCTAACGCCCTAAAACCATAAGAACTCTAAAAACTCCAAAACCCTAAAGAGGTCGCGGAGTTAGGGGTGAGCTTCTGGGCGTTGGGGCGTAAGACTTGAACCCTAAACCCCTTAAGCCCAACACCACAAAACCCAAAATCAAACAATCCGAATGCGCTAAAGCCCTGCGTCCTGAACCCTACTACTGGGTCGCTTTGGGAAGTTTGGGTTTGGGTTTTGAGGTCGCCTTGAGCGGGGGGGGGGGGTTGGCACGCTTGCCAGCTGTTCTAAGGTATTTGGAGGATCATGGGACTTAGTAGGTAAGGGTTCCTTTCAGGGATATTTGGCAGCTCCTATAAGGGATTGGAGTTAAGGGTTTGGGTCATGGGACTTAGTAAGTAAGGTTATAAATTTTAACTATAACCTTACTGACATCATCTGATATCCTGGGGCTTGGGGTACGAAGTCGCATGATCCTGTAAATTCTGCCATAATTTTGGCTAGTTAGGCTCCTATGCTAGGTGGCCTTTAGGAAGTTCTGGTTTTAGGTCTTTAGAGTTTCAGAGCTCCGGGTTTTTCTGGCTCGTTGATTAATATAGGGCCTAAATAAATACCTAGACTATTTCGGGTGTTCCTCATTATAATTATAGTACAAGGGGCCCATAACACCCCTTATAGAAATCCCTATAGACCCCTTTAAAAGGAGCCCTTTAAAGGGAACCCTATATTCCAACTACCCTAAACCCGATGAGGTTTATTTTTTTTCGGGGGTGGAGGGCTGAGGTTTTTGAGTTTGGTTTGACCAGCCCAAAGGGCCCCAGTTAAAGGATCATGGGACCTAGTAACTGGGGTTATAAATAAGAGAACTATACGTATAATTACTTATAACCCCAATTAAGGTGCTTATAACCTTACTTGCTAAGTCCTTCGACCCTCCAAATATGTACCGATACAGTAGAATGTACGGTTTCCATATTCGGAATTGCTAGAATGACGTAGGGAAGTATCCCCCATAACAGTACATAGGACCTTTGGGGCAGTTTGGGAGGTTCAGGATATTCCGAGGTTTAGAGTGTAAGGTCTAGGTTTCATGGTTTAGGATGTGGGTTCGAGGTATGCGAGCATAGACGCTGCCATGTCGTCAAGCTCCAAGCCCTAAACCCTAATATTGAAACGGTCGACCCATCAGAATTTACCACTGGACCGGTGGTGCCAGCCGAGCAAGTTCTCCAAGATACACACGCTGGCCCCCCCCATTGCAGTTTGTGTTGACTGTTCTGGAAGGGCATGGGGGCAATGCCTGGGATTTTGAATTTGTACGGCGGCTGTTGGGACTCGAAGCCTTATGAAGGCATCATTTTACTTATTCCGTGGCCAACACACAACACATCCGTGACAAAGACGATGACAAAGACGCGCCGCGGCAAGGTAAAGCGAGGATCTCAGCCGAATCCATTGCTGCTGTGATTTGTCCTACACGTGGCTTTTAACACCTTTTGAAATGATTCACCAAATACTGCAGCAACACGAGAAAGGGCACCGCACCTCGCACGCCAGGCCCATGCTGCCTGGGTCGGAAAGCCTAAAGCGCGCACAGCAACAAGAAGATGGGAGACGATAAGCTTCAAGACAGACAGTCAAAGGGTAAAAGGAGGGACCCCTAAAAAAAGACCCCTAGGTATATACCCATAATATAGCCGTTATATACCGATTATATAACCCATTATAGGGGAGGGGTCCCCATTAAGAGTCCCTCCTTTTCCCCTTCGACAGGAAGTCTTTAAGTATAGATGCCGGAGTTGAGGGCTTACGCTTTAGGGTCCAGGGTTCAGGCTTAGGGTTGAGGGAAGTGTTGAGGTTGAGCCCCGTAGCTTGAATCTCAGACCCTATGCGCTTGACCTCTAAACTGTTAACTTGAGCAAGAGCAGGGCAAGATCCCCCCAACCGTGGCAATAGGGTTAGGGTTTAGGGTTTGGGGTTTCGGGATCACAAGAACAGGTCTTTTAGGTGGCCTCCATCGTTTAAATTTGGGGGGTGGTTTCGGTTGGAGTTCAGGGGCTAAGGGTTCTTTGAGGCTTCTGTAGGGTCGAGTTTAGCAAAGTTCTGTGTAAGGTTTCGGCTTCGGTTCGGTCTTCAGGCTGTAGATTTGGTATTTTGGCGTTGAGGCTCGGAGGTTCATGTTTTGGAGATTCCGGTCGTGGGTTCGGGATTTAGGGTGTTGCGCTTTGGTACCACGGCCTCAACAATATGACCCTTAAGCTATGAAGAAGTAGTAGAGGTAGTAGTAGTAGTAGTAGTAGTAGTAGTAGTAGTAGTAGTAGTAGTAGTAGTAGTAGTAGTAGTAGCCGAGGCTCTACATCGGCAAGTCCGTGTCCTACGGCCAGAAGTCGGTAAAGCCGATCAAGGAACAGAGAGAGGCTGGCCGGAGGAACGCATCTACATGGGTTTTAGGGTTTAGGGTTTAGGCTTGTAGGCCTCGTATATATTATATTGGCCTTTTAGCGGCATTGGGTGCAGGGGTTTGTTGGTTTAATGGCTTGGGGTTTAGATTCCCGGCCTCCAGGCTTTCACAAAGAGCTATTTTTAGGGGGGCCGAATATGGGATTTGGGGCTTGGGGTTTTATAGTTCGTGGGATCAGAGTGTTGGCACTACGGCTGATGATATAAATCCTGCATTAGAATAAGGACCCTGAACTATGGGAGTTCTGGTATATCCCTTATCATGGGTAATGCAGGATTTATATCCCTAAACCCCAAAACCCTATGGATCCCTTAAAAGGAACCCCTTAAAGGTACCCTTATAGATCCCTCTAAAGGAACCCCTAGGATTTATATCATCAACCGTAGTACTTGGGTTTTAGAGCCTGGGTTTCTAGCCCTGGGAACCCCCACCCTCAATCCCCTTAGTCCACCTCTGGCACCTCTGGGCAAGCCTTGGGCACAGCTTGAGCGCACCTAAAACTTCAAACATCTCCAAAATGGAGCTTCCTGGAGTTGCTCGTAGCATGCTTGAAGACTTTCAACCTGTTTTGTCGGAAGTATCCTGTCTTTATTTACTTTAACTACTTGTTTGAGTTCTCTTGGTATGTTAACGTTAAACACCAGGAACAAGGAGCTGCTTTTTGAAAGGGGTTTACCGTTTGCTAGCAGACCCAGTTGACACAGTTATGTCGTGATCCCTCAAACTGAAGCCTGAAACCTTTCAAGGAACTCTTACAGAACCCTTGTAATTAGCGCACCCCCTCACATTAGCCTCTACATGGACCCTTGAACGAACCCTTAGAGGTATGGTGCGCTTCAGAGTCTCGTCTTTCCTGTCGCACCCTGGCCAGAGCCTGCCGATCTTCAAGCTACGAAATGAGCTTCTCCAAGCCATTCATGACAACAAGGCGCATCTGCCCTGAACCTTACTTCTAAACCCTAAAGCCTAAACCATAAACCCCAAAGAAACCCTAAAGCCTAAACCCAAACACTAAAGCCCAAACCCCACAGAAACCTTGAACCTGAAAGCCTAAACCCTAAACCCTAAGCTTGAGGCCCGAGGTTCCTGGAGGGATCTGAAGTCGTTGGAATCATCGGAGGTCTTTAGCCGATTGTGTTTAAAGGGCTTGCCACGGTATCATGCAGATATGCCCGCATCGAATTTGTGGCTTCGTGGTAGGGCTTGGCATACACTTGTGTCACTCCGTTATGGATGGCTGCGCGAAGAGGGTTTCCGACGGTCCTTTGTAAGGCGGTTTGAGCGGATTTCTTTTTAGGCGTTAGGCCACTGAACCCCCTACAGTAAACCCCTCGCGCCTATTGGGGTTTACGAATCACTGAGGGTTTCGTTTGAGAAAGGGCGCTGATTAAGTAACCATGGGCCTTTATTGGGGTTCTGTGTATGAATCCTACTATTTTGGGGCTTGTAGGCCCAGGGTTTCTTAATCAGGTTCCTACATTTGTTCGCTTCGGGGTTCGGTACTTCACGAACCCGGTCCTTGTTTGTCCCACCCTACTGTACTCGGAGGTTCATGGGCAGTTATAAGTGGGTTATAATTAAGGTAGCCATGGTTATAACCCATGTTAGGGGACTTATAACCCCACTTATAACTACTCATGAACCTCCAAGTATGCCCTAGAACCCTAAACCCTAAACCCCCGGTCGAGTTCGGCGTTCCTGCCTGTGGTTTTGTAGGCTCGGACTTCTTCGCTCTTTGAAAACAGGAGCTTCCATTATCATTAGGGCTTAGGGTTTAGGGCTTTGGGCTTAGGGTCTAGGGGTGTTTAGGGTTTAGGGTTTAAGGGCTTCCAAACCCGGATCCTTCATCAAATAGGAGTTTCCGAAAATAAGGGTCCTTATAATAAGGATCCTACCATTTGGGCTACACTATTGGGGTCCCCAATTTTCGGAAGCTCCCAAATAGAACTTGATTGGGGTTTCTAGGGTGTGTTTGTAAGGCATAAAGTAACGAACTTGCTTTCCTGTTGATGGCATCTTGGTATCAGTTCCATAACGACCAATGACCAAGATGCAAAACCTCGTGGGTGTAGTGTACCAGGCAGTAGGTTTAAGTGCTTGCCGTGTGTAAGGCAGTGTAACGTGCTGTCACTCTGAATTGCTGGGTTCTTGAGACGTCTAAATCTGGTAGAGCACGCAGCCATTTCGGTTCAATGCAATCCTAAGAGCTAAGCGTAAGATCATCTTAACATAGTGGCGCTACAATAAACGCAGTGAGCGAAAGCGCCGCTACTGCGCAGGTTCGACAAGTAGCAGGATGTCTCTACGCGATCCACTAAAGCACCAAAACAGTGTCCTATGTATGTAAGGCGAACAAACTCGAATCCCCATCAAAACCCACACAGCCCTCTCAAACCGTAAACCCCTGAACCCCTGAACCCCATAACCGTAAACCCTTGAACTCTGAACCTTCCGCCCTAAACCCAATACCCCAGACCTCAAACCTCAACTCCGAACCTGACCATGAGCAGGTGCTGATCGTGATCGGCGAGACGGGGAGTGGCAAAACCACTCAGATCACTCAGTACATGGCCGAGGTGCTCTGGGTTTCTCGGAGTCTCGTAAGAGCGCTGCGGGCTGGGGGATGAGGGGTTTCACACGACTTGTATAGTATCTGAGTGGATACACTTACACTTTTGGGGATAATACTACCCACATTAAAACTAAAAGTGTACACTTTTTGGGGGCTTATGAACTCAGCAACTAAGACGAAAACCTACAAATTCCCAAGTGAAAGCTGCGTAAGCTTTCATGCATCTTTTCGATGGTTGAGGGCCTGAAGTGTCGACTGCGGGTGGATGGAACTAGAACCGGGTGAAGTAGTCGTGGTAGTGGTAGTAGTAGTAGTAGTAGTAGTAGTAGTAGTAGTAGTAGTAGTAGTAGTAGTAGTAGTAGTAGTAGTAGTAGGAGTAGTAGTAGCAGTAGTAGTAGTGGCAGTAAGTAGAAGAAGTAGTAGTCGTAGTACCAGTGGTAGTGGTAGTGATAGTTATAGTGGTAGTGGTAGTGGCAGTGGTAGCAGCAGCAGCAGCAGCAGGAGTGGTAGAAGCGGCAGGAGTAGTAGTAGTGGTGGTAGCTAGTGCCAGTGATAGCAGTAGACGGAGTCGGAGTATCAGCAGCTACTGCTGCAGCAGCAGCAGCTGTTGTTGGAACTCTTGGCATTGGTAGCAACGGAGTTTGCGCGGGTCTCCCTAACCAAACCCCATACCGTAAACCTGAAAGTGTAGTCTTCGTTCGAGAGTTCATGGCTTACAGAAATTCGCAAGCCCTTCCTTGACAAACAGATTAGGGAACTCCTGATAGGAGAACAGGATCCTATGCTTTCACCAAGGCAACCCCAGCTGAATGAAGAACAAGTAAGCTCGGCCTTAAGACGTCCCCAAACCCTAACCAAAACTTTGAATTATTACAGTTTACGGCCTGGGCTCCTCAACCGTAAACCCTAAGCCCTACACTGAACCCTAAACCCGACTTGGAGGGGCAGGGGACCTAGTAAGTAGGTTCCAATTGGGTTTGTAGGTACCCTAAATGGAGTTACCCGAATTATAACCCTACTTATAAACGACTTGCTAAGTCCCCTGCCCCTCCAAGTAAGCCCTAAAGCCCCCAAACTCTAAACTCAAGCAGCTTTGAGTTTCAGGGTTTAGGGTTTAGGGGCTTGTCAGGCTGTTGGGTTCAGATCTCTGGGGCTTTCAAATCAACCCTACTTGGAGGGTTTGGGGGTTCCTTAAAAAGGGATCTGTGGGGTTCCTTAAAGGGATCTATGGGGTTCCTGAAAGGGATCTATGGGGTTTAGGGTTTAGGGTCTACTTGGAGGGGCAGGGGGCTTAGTAAGTCGTTCAGAAGTATGGTTTTAATTGGGGTAGCTCCATTTTAGGGTACTTATAAATCTACTTATAACCTACTTACTAAGTCCCTGCCCCTCCAAGTAAGGGTTCCTCCTTTAAGCGTCCTTTACTAGGACCCAGAGTAGGCCCTTATTCCCCGTTTTTAGGGTCTAGGTTCCCTGATACCCCCCTTTAAACCAAAAAGGGCGCCCTTTTTATTCCTAGGTTACTCTTAGGTCTAGTTAAAGGGTTCCTAGGGATCTGCCAGCGTTCTTTCAAGGGATCCGTTTAGGGTCCCTTTAGAGGCACTGCGGTAATACAGGGGCAGTAATTAGTAGAAATGAGAATGGTTTTGCTTAGGGGTCTGTCGTTTAGTTGCACCACTTCACTATATAACACTCCCGAAACCCTACGAAATTCTCCCGGGTATCTAGCCTCTGTCTGAGAGGCGGGTTACACCTCCCGCGGCGTCATCGGCTGCACCCAGCCAAGACGTGTGGCGGTGCGCCCCGGGGTCCCGCGGGACTTATAATCCATGGTTTCTTACCCTAATCCGTACCTTAACCCCAAGTAGCCTACCTTTTTAAGGACTTATATAAAGAAATCATATTAAGGAGCCCTAAAAAAGGTAGGTTCCTTAGGGTCCAGGTAGACCTTAAGCCCAAATTCAACTAGCCTTACTTGCAAGGTCCCATGATCCCCGTTGTCGGTGTCTGGAGTCTTTGGGTCATAGGTTTAGGGTTCAAGCTGGGGGTCGCAATAACTACTAGCATCATTCCTCAGGGACTCTTGTTTAAAGTGTGTTATGATATTGTAATTAGAATAGGTAAGCATTCCTAAGGAGTCTGAGACCCATATTTTGAACCCGCCTGCGCGTTTGCAAACTGTCAAGTCATGCATGATGCAATGGGTACTGTGTACACACAAGCATATACGTATATATACATATATATATACACACATATAACAGCGTCATGCTGGATTTGTTTCAAAATTTGACTCTAAACCCTAAACCCTAAAAACTGCTTCCTAGCAGAGGGGTGTGCTCGACTCCTCCCCCGCAAAGAGAAGCTGACACAGCAGCGCGGTTAAGGGTCGGAGTCCGAGTCCTTTGGTTGATGATATAAATCCTGTAAGGACCCTAAACTATGGGAATTATGGTATATTCCTTATTATGGGTAATGCAGGATTTATATTATCAGCCGTTTTACTAGCGTTCGGGGAGACTTCCACATCAGCAGGTTCAGGGTCTAGGGTTAAGTTTAGGTTTAGCGCTCAGGGTTTGGGGGTACACTCTGAAAAGGCACTAGCTCAAATTGAGGTTTAGGCTATAGGGTATACGGCTTGTGGGTACACTCTGAAAAAGCAAAGTACAAGAGCTCAAAGCCTGCAAAGCCTAACCCTGTTGCAGGCCCGGTCCCAGACGCTCCATGACCTCGGTCAGCCCTCAGATCCTGGACTCTGATAGTGAGATCCCAAACCTTAGCCCCCAAAGCCCAAACCCTTCCCCCAGAAAGCCCATGACCCCTTTCGGAGCCGTAGGGTAGAATCTACATCTGAAATCCTAAACTTCACACCATACAGTAGAAGCCCGAAAGTTGGAACCCAATAGCCTCAATCCTTAAGAGTAAGATACAGGCAATCCCAGCACTATTTGGCCTTAACCCGGTTCCCAACTTTAAGAAGTCTACTGTAAACCCCTAAACCCTAAACCCTAAACCCTAAACCCTAAACCCTAAACCCTAAACCCTACCAACTTTAAGAAGTCTACTGTAAACCCCTAAACCCCCAACCCTTAAGCTTCCGGATTCTTAAAAAAAACCCTGTGATTGCGGAGCCCTTGAGGAGCCCTGATTATTCTTGTAGAGCCCTGCGTAAGCTAACCGAAACCCTCAACCCTAAACCCTAAACTTTAGAACCCTTAAGCTAGCTTGAGGGATTTGTTGGTGGGATGCGCAGGCCATGTCCGTTGCCAAGCGCGTGTCGGAGGAGTACGGGTGCCGGCTTGGCCGGGAGCCTGGCTGTGGTTTCTTGCTTTCGGTGGTGGTGGTTGAAGGTTCGCGGTTATGGGTTGCAGGGTCTAGGGTTCAAGAGTTCACGTTTTTATGAATTGCAGTTTAGGGGTCTAGGCCTTAGACTTGAAGACCTTGGAGTTTGATTATGTGCGGTTTGGGGGGGGGGGGGGGGATTGATTTAGGGTTAGGGTTTAGTTTAGGAAGGGGGGTTTGTGCAGGGCTCAGGATTTGACTAGGAAGGGCTTCCAGTGCCAATCCCAAGCAGTACTGCTCGGTATTTGGGATTTTCTCTAAAGCGGCCTAGAAAAAGCACTTGAAACCAGTTCATTGCCAGGAAGGAAGGAATGGAGCTCAGCCGGACTGTCAAACCACTCGCCAAAGCCAGCTCAATTTCGTTCAGACATCGTCCTGGATTTGACGTACTCAAAAGATCGTGGGACTTAATCCTTGCACCCGAATTTCAAAGGGCCCCCCTCCCTTTACTATTGAGGAGGGCCCTACGCCCTAAAGTCCTGGTCCTTTCGGTGTAGTGCTACTTAAAGCCCTAAACCCTAAAACCCTAAACCCTAAACCCTAAAACCGTAAGCCCTAAACCCTAAACCCTCAAGCCCTAAATCCTAAAACCGTAAAGTTCTAAGCCTTTATAAACCGACCGACAATCGACGCTACTTCCGAACGTCACAGCATAAACACCAGACCCAAAGATCCAAAGCCTTGAAACACAACGCGGGTTGTAGGAGCTGGGTTTACTTACTCATTCTATTCCTTGAGGCTTCCTCTGTTTTTTTATCAAAAATTATAGCATATCCCAAAAGCTTTAGTCTAATGACCAAGGCCCCTACACTAACTCATGCTGCGACTGCATCCGTGCTCAAGGCCTTTGGACCCTAAACCATAGGGGCCCTAGAGGGAGGGGGGGGCTGGGGTACCATATTTCCTTAAAAAAGCCTAATTAGACCCATATCCAGGCCTTATTCGGGCCATTAAGGCCCCCACCTCCCCCTTAGCCACCCAAAGGTCCTTCTGACTAAAGCTGAACGCAAGACCCTACTGCTGGCCAAGGCCAAGAGGTGGGTTATGCCATCCGTTTCGAGGACCGCCCTGGGTTTTGTTGGGAGTCAGGTGGCTCCGTGTTTGGTTTTTTTTTCATGTAGGGTTTAGGGTTTAGGGTTTAGATCATACCGGCACCTTGGTCTAGGGTTCTGGGTTTAGGGTTCAGGGTTGCGGGTTTGCTGTTGACATGCGCCTCTTTTCCAAGGGACTCTAGAAGGAAACCCCCATAACGAGGCCCTCAACATGCAGCTCCAGGTAGGGATTTGGTTGTGCTGTTTTTGTTTTAGTTATGCGGTTCCCTAAGCCAGGGTCGTGGTTCAAATTTCATGGTTTTGCCCTTAACCTAAAGACTGGGATCCTAAGCTAGTGCAGGGGTCGGAATATTCGATACCACTTCTTTCCCCCTGGTCCTGTGTACTGCAATAACTCCCTGAAGCCATGGCTTTGAATATTGCGTCCCATTTGTAGGCAGATGTTTTTGATTGTTGTTGGGAATCGCGTTCCGAAGAGGGCTGCTTGGGGGGCATTTTTTGGGTTTAGCCTCGGGATCAAACTCAGGATCTCTGTCAAGGTTTAGGGTTTAGGGTTTGGGGTTTAGGGTTTAGGGCTTAGGGCCTTGGGGTTTAGGGTTTGGGGTTTAGGGTTTAGGGTTTAGGGAAGATCATGATGGGTTTCCAGAAGCACACCCGTGAAAATTCCCTAGGGTTTAAGCCCTAAACCCTAAACCGTGGAGACCTTCCCATTGGAAGCGGGGGAAGATTCTGTACGCAGGTTAGCGTTAGGGTTACCACCTTACGATCCAGAAACCACTGACTAAGCCTTCTGGTGCTTGACTCGATCGGCATTCTGGGGTTTGGGAAACTCGTTCATGTCGCTTATGGCTCTATAAGGCACTTCTTCGTTAACGTCGGGGGGAGCCCTTAACTCTTAAGGGTCATGGGATTTAGGTCCTAGGGTTAGTAACTATGAGGGAGGTAGCTTTACTTAGAATTACTTATAACCCCAATCAGCGTACATACAACCTTGCTGACCTTCATGAAGGCTCCTGGGTTTTTGCTGATGTGATCCAGGTTTTCCTGAGCTTGTTTCGTAAGATGGCCTTGATCAGAGGTTGCGACTAGGGCCAGAACTACACCTTCGGGTTCAGAGCTAAGGGTGAGCAGTGTGGAGGATAGATGTGGGTCTCGGTAACGCATGTCGAGCTTCGGATGCCGTGCTATGAGCGAGGGAATGAAGCTACAGTCTTTGAAGGATTTAAAGCCAGATAATCGCTGCGGTTGATGATATAAATCCTGCATTACCCATAATAACGAATAGACCAGAATTCCCATAGTTTAGGGTCGTTAAGGTAATGCAGAATTTTTATCATCAACAGTAGAACTCACACACATCGCTAAGAACCGAAACCTTCAACCGCAGGATCAGACAGGGCCCGACACTCTGATCAAGTACATGACAGACGGCGCCTCGCCATGGAGGGAGAAAGGATTCATGGAGGGTTTAGGGTTCGGGATTTCCATATAGGGTTTCTGAGGGGGCAGCGTTCGGATCTGCTGAGATGGTGATGATGATGAGATGATTGTCACGGTCATGACCATGATGATGATACGATACTGCTGATAATGATGATGATGATGGTGGTGTGGTGGGGAGAAAGGTGATGTGATGATGTTGATGATGATGATGATGATGATGATGACGACATCGATGATGATCAAGATGACACTGATGATGATGCTGATGGTGATATGATGATGGTGATTTTGATGGTCGTCATGATGCTGCTGATGATGATGGAGATGTTGGGCTCGTCATCACTGTGATGGAAATCTCCCACACATATCATTCAGCTCGTAGAAGTTAGGATTTTACTGAGTCAAGCTTTCGTCGTTAAAGAGCCCTGCGACCAGTCGCAGGATTATGATGCTTTGATATCATCGCCACTTCTAGAGACAGGTGAGCTATCAAATGCTTTGTGCTCTTATTGGCGTCATTGTTTATCTGGGTTCGGGAGACGACTCCGACGGCACCGTCCGAGAACTTTCAAGTTGACTTGGAGGGGCAGGGAGGTTATAGTCAGAGTTATAAGTCCCCTAAATGGAGTTACTCCAACTATAAAACCTACTTTTAACCTTACTTACTAAGTCCCTGTCCCTCCAGGTAGACCCTAAACCCTAAACCCCGTAGATCCCTTGAAGGATCCCTATAGATCCCGTTAAAGAGCAAATAAAGAACCCTCACTAAGTCCCCTGCCCCTCCAAGTAGGATGACTGAAGTTTTGTCTCCTTTTTCTGTACCAAGGGGCATACTGTAGTTACCAATGTTTCCGGCGCTTTTGGCGGTTAGTCTTCGAGTTCGCACAGCTCAGCCGTAGGGTTCTGTGTCGGGTTTGAGATCCGCCCATTCGGGCCGCCAAAGAACACGTAAGCAGAAGTTAGAATGGGACTGTCCCATATAAATCCCCTTGCATTTGTAGTTTGAAGCCCAATAAGGTAGGGATATCCTTGCAAGCTGTTTATGCTTATGTCCTTTGTGGGTCACATGCTTCTACGTATAAGCTGTGAGCACACCCTAAGCCCAAAATCTACGAGGATCTTGCACTTGAACCCTTAAGGTTTAGGGTTTAGGGCTTAGGGTTTAGGGTTTAGGGCTTAAGGCTTAGGGTTTAGGGTTTAGGGCTTAGGGCTTAGGGTTTAGGGTTTAGGGTTACGGTTTACAGTAAAAGCCCAAAAGTTGGAATCCCAATAGCGTCAATCCTTAAGAGTAATGTATAGGGAATCCCGAGCACTATTTGGCCTTCATCCGGTTTCCAACTTTATGGGGTTTACTGTAGGCACCAATGATTCCAAGGTATGCTTCTTCGTGAGATCCTCTCTGACGATCAAGTCGCATCCTCGTGATCCGAAGGAGCACTTTCAGGAATTTTAGGGTTTAGGGTTTAGTCCACTGTTTGGGGAAGGTTTTAAGGTTCCATGGGTTCGAAAAATACAACTTCGGACGGGTAGTTCCCCAAGATCTATGACCCCGAGACTTCATTGAAGATTGCAGAAGTCCATAGCGTTTCGACAGCCTGGCATGCTAGGCTTTACTCCTAATAGGGAATGGGGGGAATGGATCCCTATAGTAGCCCCTATATAATCCCCACTACTAGTCCCAATAGCCCATTCCCAATTCCTACTAAGCACCAGGGAGTTTGACACAGGCCCTAGTAAACCCCACTGAAAACTGCATTCAAGTCCAAGCCTTCAGCCCTAGGCCGCACAGCCTCTGCAACTAGCAACAGAACCCTAAAGCCAAAACCCTAAACCCTACGCTGCACCATACAGCCTAAGCTTACCCTAAACCCTGAACCCTAAACCCTAACCCTTAAACTAAACACTGAGCCCTAAACTCCAAGGGTAGAAGGAGGGACCCTTACTAAGGACCCCTACTTGGAGGGGCAGGGGACTTAGTAAGTCGATTATAAGTACGGTTATAATTGGGGTAGCTCCATTTAGGGTACTTATAACTCTACTTATCGCCTACTCTCTAAGTCCCCTGCCCCTCCAAGTAGGTACATACCCTTAATATAGCTATGATATACCAATTATGTAGCCCATTATGGGGTAGGGGTCCCCACCTAAGGGTCCCCCCTTCTCCCCTTTGATAAACGCTGAAGCAACATCCCCAAAGCTCCCAAAGACACTTGAAGGATCATGAGACTTAGCAACTGGGGTTATAAGTAAGGTAGCTATACTTATAATTACTTCTAACCCCAATTAAGGTACTTATAACCTTACTTACTAAGTCCCATGATCCTCCAAGTAGACCCTAAACCCTATACCCCATAGACCCGTTTTAGGATCCCTATAGATCCCTTTCAGGAGCCCTTTAAGAACCCTTACGAAGTCCCATGATCCTCCAAAGACCGAGGTCAGCAAGTACTCGGTCATCATGTTGGATGAGGCGCACGAGAGGCGTGGGGTTTAGGGGTTTGGGGTTTAGGGTGTAGGGGTTAGGAATTTAAGCTTTAAGGGTTTAGGGATTTAGGATTTGGGTATTAGGGATTGAGGTTTTGGCTTTTGGGCCTTTTAGGGTTTAGGGCTTTAGGGTTCCTTTAAGGAGTTCTTAGACGGGATCTATAAGGGTTTAGGGTTCAGGGGCTTTGGGTTTGGGGCTATGGGGCTATGGGGTCTAGGGTTTGGGGGTTAAGGGTTTAGGGCTTAGGGTTTGGGGTTTAGTTTAGTCTTTTTGGGGTTCAGGGTGTGAAGTTTACGGTTTTGGGTTGGGTACTGCGCCCATACAGTAACAGTCTATGATAGGGCCACCACTAGGGGCCTTCTAAATCATATTGTAAATATTATTCAACTGTTACTGGGCTTTGGAGTACCATACTTTAAATACTTTCTTCTTATTAAAGGAACCCTTATGAAATAAACGTTTATACTTTTTTCTCCCTGGTTACTTAAAAGCCCAGGTTACTGAATGGAGGCAGTATCCAGGGTTACGCTTTCGGGCTTGGGACTTTGTACGTAAGTAAGGTTATAATTCCTTGAATTGAGGTCATAGGTAGTTGTACCTCTAGCTACCCTGCAAATTAACCTGAAACCTTTAAGTAGCGCGTTGGGTTTAGGGTTTACGGCCTTCAGTTCGGAGCATGGGGATTGTGGAGTAGAAGCCAGAAAGTTGGAGCATAATTGCCTTCATACCCATAAGTTAAAGTATCAGGGATCTCAGCTTTCATCATCCTATCTCCATGTTCCAACTTTCTGGGGTTCTTTACAGAACTTTGAGGTCATAATCCACACTAGCATCCCGTTTAGAGCTCTTACAAGTCTACAAATTACCTTCTTACTAAGTCTCCCGACCCTCCAAGTAGAGAATTGAGTTAAAGGGAACTCCACAAAGTTGGAATATGGATTAATGGTAGGATCCCCTATAATGTACCTTAAAGGGGTTACGATAATGATATTCCAACTTTCTGGCTTCTACTGTACAGGAACCCTTAAAGGAGCCCTTCAAGATCCCTTCAAGGAATCCCAAGCCCTTCAAGGAACCCTTACAGATCCCTGAAGAACCCTTAAAGATCCCTTCGAGGTAGGCCCTAGGGCCCGGTTAGGGCAGGGAACTGCAGGGAGCTTTCGAGCTCGGAGGCTCCGAGCCTGATGGGTTCGTTGTTGACACCAGTTTGGCTTTCCAACTTAAACCCAAACCCTAAACCCCAAACCCTACACCCCAAACCCTAAAACCCAAATCCTGAAGCCGAAACCCTAAACCCTAAGCCGAGATCAAAACAGAAAATAGCTTAAACGGAAAATCCTCCACCCTAAATCCCGACCGTGAAGTCCTCGGTCCAATCCCTCATTCCTGTAGAAACCTGAAGTCTGTTTCTCTAGTATGAAAGGTGGGAAATCATAAAAGAAAAAATGCAAGGATGCGAAGTTCTTACTGTGCGTGATTTCCAGAAAATACAATTAGGGAAATTTTGGGTTTCCGGTTTAGGGAAGTTTAGGGTTTAGGGTCATTATGGTTTAGTTCAAGGTTTACGGCTGAGGGTTGAGGGTCACCGGGTCTTGGGCCGCAAGCCCAAAAATACGCAGAACCCGCGGGTCTCTCTCTATCAGAAAGCCCAAAACTCACCCTGCAACCAGAAGTTCTAAAAGCCTTAAAGCCCAAAGCTCAAAACCCTACAGCCCATAAGTCCTAACCATTGTAAACCCACATTAGATCTCTCCTTTGAGAACCCTCACCCCAAACCCTAAACCCTAAACCATACCCCGACTCATAAAGGTCCTAAGCCGGAAATCCGAAGCTCTACCAGACCCCAACCCTGAACACTGAACCCAAGCTTTCGGACGAACCCGTATGTACTTGGCATAGAAACCTTTCAGCAACCTTGCAGAAACCTTGATTAAGCCCCATAAGCCCCGGAAGGAACCCTTGCAGAAGTTTTCAATGTGAGGACCATCTCCACCGACGTCCTCTTCGGCTTGCTGAAAGCAGCGGTGAGGCCGGGTGATTAGGTAACCAGAGTGGAGTCCTTGACTTGGTTTGAGTGGAGGGGCAGGGGACTTAGTAAGTAGGTTAAGTAGAGGTATAAAGTACCCTAAATGGACCTACCCCAATTACAACCCTACTTATGAACGACTTACTAAGTCCCCAGCCCCTCCAAGTAAAGTAAAAGCCAGAAAGTTGGAATATGATTATCCTGACCCTTCTATGGTAAATTATAGGTATCCTACCCTGAAACCATATTCCAACTTTCTGGAGTTTCCTATAAGAGTCCATGAACTTGGTTTAGGTGCTTTTTGGTTGGAGTTCTTAGGACTGTGGGACCTCAGTGTTTGTTTTCTTGGGGTTTCAGGATTTTCAGCGGTCTTTACGGCGTTGTCGGGCTTCGAGGTAGAGCAATCACGAGGCTAGCAATTTGCGGGTTTTGGTTTTTTTGCAGATGCATGCAATGTGTTCATCATGGTGCCGATTCTTTGGTTCAAGCAACCTAAGGCTCCATGTATCCACATAGTATATACTTAGGCCTTAAAGACTTTAAGGCTTGAGTACCTACTATCATAGTACCTGGAGCCTTTGGTCCCTTAATTTAGGAATATTGTTTAAGTCATATTAGGGATCCCATTTTTTTTGCGGGATATTCCTTAATTAAAGGATATTGGAGTCTCTGGGCAACCCGGGGTCTGATAATGATTCGGTACGTAAAGGATCATGGGACTTAGTAAGTAGGTTCCTTTTAAAGGGCTCCTTTAAGGGATCTATATAGGGGTTCTATAAGGGGTAGTTCAGGCTACTTATAGGATCATGGGACTTAGTAGGTTATAACTGGGGTTATAAGTCCCCTAAGTGGGGTTATCCTAATTATAACATACTTATAACCTTACTTACTAAGTCCCATGAGCCTTTAAGTAGTTGTACGCACATCGTCGCCGTGACGAATACGGTGCATATGGGAACCTGATTAGGAAATCTGTGGTCTTTATTAGGGTTCCATGAGGGTCCCTTTAAAGGGTACTATAAGGGTACTATAAGGGTTTGGGTCTTTATTAGGGTTCCTTATATGAATCCTACTTTGTTGGGGGTTTAGAGGACCACAGGCACGGCCGCAAGACACCTCCCGGCGCTCACGAAACAGCGATGGCTGGACCAGTCGAAACAGAACCTGGGGGATCCAGATGGGTTGTTGTCAAAATTAGGGTCCCTTTTGGGGTACCCTAAATATGAGGTGCTGCATTATGATAAGGACCCAAAAGGGGACCCTAATTTTGACAACCACCCGGAAGACGGTGATGGGGGTAGCAATCCCGAAATCACAGAGGTGAAGATATCACGGAGAGAGGCGAGCAAGGTTGCGGTGCCACCCTCTGCCCAAGGTTTGTACTAGGGCGCACGGAGTCGATGTTGTTTAGTCCCCTTGGCCTACATGCTAGGAGGATCATCATAATTCCCTTACAAGGTGGGGTTTTTTCCAATCAGGGCTCTTTCCCAGGATAGGCCGACAAACAGATTGGTCCAGCAAGATCTGGTGGTGCCAAAAGAACCCTCACTCCGCAGCAAAGCCCCTGCTAGAGCCTCAAGTCATTCAAAGCCCGCAGCTCCGTGTAGGTCCAAAACTCCATAGTAATGTAGGAACCTGATTAAGAAACCCTGGGTCTATAATTCCCCAAATAGTAGGATTCATATAAGGAACCCCAATGAATAAAGGCCAAAGACTTCTTAATCAGGTTCTTACATTAAGCTCGCCAAACCCTTACAGTACCCTTATAGTACCCTTAAAAAGGGACCCTTATGGAACTAATGAAGACCCATTGTTTCTTAATCAGGTTCCTACATTACCCCTCCCTGAAACGTTGATACGGGAACGCAACTCTCTTAAGGCCCGAGAGCCCAAAGATCCAACATCCAAGCAGCAAAAACCCTAGTCACTCTCAGCTTAAGTGAGCACCACTGACTGTGGCCCAACTCCCACATATAAGGACCCCAAAATAGTGTACCCCCAATCTTCGAAAACTCCCATGTAAGCCTTGACACCACGGCGACCCTTAGAAGCGACCCGACATAAGCGCACAAGAGCCCACGAGCCGAATAACCTATGATCTCAAGAGGCCTAACCCCTAAGCCTAACCCCAAAGCAACCGAGGGTTTATAGGATTTGGGGCTTAGGGCCCCCAACCCTAACCCAAAGACTCCTATATCCCCTCATTAAAGAATATACCTTAAACCATTGTGGGGATCCTACTATGATTTACGGTATATTCCTGAATTATGGGATATTGGAGACCCTGGGTCCCTCCGGTTTAGGGTTTTTAGGGTTTAGGGTTTAGGGTTTAGGGTTTAGGGTTTAGGGTTCAGGGTTTAGGGTTTAGGGTTTAGGGTTTAGGGGCCTTGAACCCTAAACCAAAGTCATATCTCCAGGAAGAGACCAGAGCTGAAGCTCATCGTCACCTCGGCCGGGCTCTCAGTGGCCAAATGTGCCGATTGCGGTTAGGGGTTTTAGGGTTCAGGGTTTAGGCGCTTTGGGTTTGGGAGTTTGGGGTTTAGGGTTTAGGGGTTGAGGGGTTTGGGGGTTTCGGGGTTTAGGGGCTTGGGTTTTTGGGGTTTCGGATTTGTGTAGGTTCCGGGATTCAGGGTTTCGGGTTTTGCGTGAGGAGTAGCGAAGAGGGTTGGAGTTCGGGGCGGTTGGGCGGGTTGGAGCTTTGTCGGCAGGTTTGGGGGGTTCGGGTTTAGGACTTTTGGAAGTGTTGGGCCCTAACCCCTAAACCCGATAAACCCTAAACCATTCTGACAAACCACAAACTCCTAAACCAACCCTCAAACGCTTGAGCCCCAAACCCTCAAACCCGTGAGCCCAAACCCCTAAAGTTTACCCTACGTCCCTATCGGCGCTTACCCTAACATAGATCGGGAGACTTCCCTAAGTCAGGATAGTAATTCCTTGTATAGAATCCCTACACTCTACTGTATAGTCTAGGCCCTTATTCCCTTTTTTACCTTATGACAGCCTTTAAACCCAAAAGGGCACGCTTGTTATTCCTAGGGTCTAGTAGTTATAGGTTATAGGTGCTCATAGGAATCGTGAAAGGAACCCCAAACAGTTGACCCTAAACCCTACACCCACTCCTCCCCACTCCCTACTAAGAATCAGACCCTAAGCCCTATACCCTAAACTCTAAACCCACTCCCCCATTGTTTACTAAGAATCAGACTGAAAGGAACCCTAAACAGTTCCCCCATTCCCTACTTAGAATCAGACTGAAAAGGAACCGTCACGCCTCCTTCCGGCCAGGCCACGTTGGATGCGGAGAAGTTCTCGAGCCCGGCTGGCGAAAATTTGTCTGTGGAGCCGAAGAGAAGGGCTTGAATATGTTAACGGTATAAGCCTAGGGCTCCATTCAAAGGGATCCTTAAAGGGTTCAGGTTTAGGGTTTAGGGTAATTAAAAGGGTCTATAGGGGATCGATAGCAGGGTGTAATATCACCCCAGACCCTATTCTAACTGCTAAGGCCCCTATAGTAATCCTAAACCCTAAACATTGAACCCAAAGTAGTACTGATGCCAGCAAGTGCGGTTCCCTGGTAGCTCCCCCGGGGTGCTGACCCTTTTCTGTTTGTGCTGTGTGACTCCACTTGTTAGGGGAGAAAGAGAGAGTGAGACAGCGACAGTGGGAGAGAGAGAGAGAGAGAGAGATAGAGGGAGAGAGAGAGCCGGAGACACGGATAGTAACAGAGAAAACGGCGGAAGCCGTTCCAGAGTCATTTTGGTGGGGGCATCGCCGGTCCAAAATCACCATGCAGCCGAGTATGGCCTGTGACAGCTGGCAAACCTGACATGCGACTCAGGGTAGAGCAACGACGAAACTTGGGTCGTCCGCGCCGTCGGCCGAGCTTTGTCAGGCGGTGGACGCGACCACCGGCAAGATCCACAGCACTCTGGTGTGGTCAGAAAGCCCCAACTGTGCGGGCATCCACCTGGCATGCAGTGCCCATAACCTTTCCTGGCCGGGGACAGCATTGTGTGGCTGGTGCCGGGTTTCCCCGCTTGGCAGAAGCTCTGCCGTCAGATGGCCCAAGACCCTATTCTAATCACTAATTAACGCTCGTACATTACATGCTACGGCTCTACCGAAGGATTCTAGACGATTTTGACATCGCGCGGTTGCGCTTACCCAAGTTTTTACCGATTTACAGAGTCACATACTCTCAAGTAGGGTTCAGGCATACCTCGCAGAGAAGGCAGATTGCTGAAACTATGCAGGGTGTCATGTTGTGATGTTTTTGATCTTCGGTAGTTCAGGCGGTAATGCGCCTGAGGTCGCCGGCGAGGACATTGAGCCTCGGCTGTAGTTTACCCAAGTTGTGGACAAGGCAGTATTTTCGTACCAGAAACTTGCTCAAGTTGCTTACTAAAGATCGAAAAGTTCGAAACCACGAGTCATCTGCCGGATCCTTTTCTGGTTTAAAGCAGACGATCCCTAAAACTACGGCGGTTGCGGAGATTCTGAAGAACCCTTCAGACCCAGTGCCCCGACAGACCAGAGCCCTAAACCCTAAAAGCCCTAAGCCCTAAAAGACCTAAGCCCTAAGAGACCTAAGCCCTGAGAGACCTAAGCCCTAAGAGCCCTAAGCCCTCAGAACCCTAAACCCGAAGAGCCCTAAACCCTAGGAGCCCCAAGCCCGGAGCTCTGTGCCAGCTTACTTCTTCAACTCCCACATCTTCACCATCCCTGGAAGGAGCTTTCTGCGGCTGGCTGGGTGCGGTTAATTTTCGGCGCCTGACTCTAAGTAGTAGCGCTGCTCGATACGGCTCCTTTCTATCGTGATAGTCAGTGTAGCCCGAAAGCTTCTAAACACCTCAAGCCCCATTATTTCGTGAGCTCGCTTGAATCCTTTATGAGGATCATAGGGCTTAATAAGCAAAGTCACAAGTACCCTAATTGGGTTTAAGTAATTGCAAGCATAGTCACCTTCATCGTATCCCTAGAGCCTGAACCCTGAACCCTAAACCCCTGAACCCCTGTGATCCAAGTAGCGGCTTACCCGGTCAACCTCTGCCGGTGCGGGTGTATATTCACTTGACGTCTTTTTCGGCCGGATTTCTATCAGCGATTGAGGCGCTTCGATAGGCTCTAGAGGGTTTTGTGCTTGGAGGGGCAGGGGATTTAGTAAGTAGGTTACAAGTAGAGTCATAAGTACCCTAACTGGAGTTACCCCAAGTATAACCCTACTTATAAACTTATAAACGACTTACGAAGCCCCCTGCCCCTCCAAGTTTCGTAGGGTGAATTCAGGGTTTTGTAGGGTTTGGGTTTCGGGTGAGGGTTTAGGGGTGGAGTGCTTAAGCTTTGTACGGATTCACACATTTCCCGAAACACCAACGACATCCTCGATCATGGAACTTAATGAAGTCCTACGCAGAACGGTCAAACCGAAACCCTAAGCCTTTGAATATCCCTGGTGTAACCTATCGAAGCCGCCTACCGCCTTCTAAAAACTGGTCCAAGTCTGTGTGAAACCCTTGAAATTGTACTGAATCCCACCGGAAGCCCTAAACCCCAAACCCTAACCCTCAACTCCCTAAACCCTGAACCCTTGAACTTTAAGTCCCTAAACCACCAGACTTAAACCCCAAACCCTAAAAAATTCCCTAAGCCCTGAACCCCTGAACCCTACTTGGAGGCCCTTTTGACTTAGTAAGTCTACTTAGTATCCCCTAGAAACCCTATTAGAAACCCCATAACCCACCTTACTAACCCTACTTACTAAGTCAAAAGGGCCTCCAAGTACATCCCTAAAGCCCCCAGAGACTTCAATATCCCTTAATTAAGGAATATTCTTTAAATCATATTAGGGATCCTACTATAATCTAAGGAATATTCCTTAATTAAGGCATATTGGAGTCTCTGGGAACCCTACATTCTGGCTTCTAAACCCTAAACCCTAAACCCTAAACCCTAAACCCTGAACCCTGAACCCTGAACCCTAAACCCTGAACCCCTGAACCCCTGAACCCTGCATCCCTAAAGCCCCCCCCGGAGATGAAGAGAGGACTTTCCCCGTGGAGATCCTCTATTCCAAGGCTGGGGAGCTCTTGGACTCCCTTTAGGAGATCCTCAAAATTGGGAGTTTCCGAAGATAGTGGACCCTGATCTAGTACCCTAAATAGTAGGATCCTGAAAAAAAAAAAAGAGGACCCCAAACTAAGGTACCCCTACTTTTCGGAAACTCCCAATTCTTGCTTCAGGAATGGACCAGAGTGGGACCCTGAGCCTTAAACCTTAAAGAACGCTAAAGACTCCAATCCGTAAACCCTAAGTGTTTCTGGTTTAGGGTTTAGGGTTTAGGGTTTAGGGTTTAGTACCCAAATAGTAGGGTTTAGGGCCCAAAATCCATACTCTGAATGGTTTTCGGACCTTGAAACCCTACTATTTGGGTACTCGGACCCTTAGGGTAAGTTTCTGGTTTAAGGTTTAGTTCACCGATAGATTCAGGGCATCGGAGCGCTTGGAGTCTTTCGGGGACACAGAGTCTGGCAAAATCCGTCCCGAGAGAATGGAACCTCAATGTAGGGTTTCGGGGTAAGGGGTTTGAAGATGCAGGGTTAAGGGTTTAGGGTCTAGGGTTCGTTTATAGGGTTTAGTATAGGGGCCCAATAATTAGAATATAACTAGAATAGGGCGTTGGGGAATTTTGATGGAGGGTGTAGGATGCTGTATTGTCAAGTCATATTTCGGAACCCTCTGTTATACAGCTCTTGGTTGCATGTTTGGCATGTTGCTGCGGTGGGTTTTGGAGTCTCGGATAGCACACTTTTTGCCATGTGGCGGTGGAGCAGGCTGCGGAACTTTGGAGGCTTTCGGAGCGTGCAGTCCTGATATACAGGGAATTCTCTGCCCGTCACGTTGCCATGGGGCCATGGGGTCATTCTGCTGGCCCATGAAGCCGAAACTCCATGCATATCAGGCGACTAATTGGTTCATGGTGAAACCCCTGTATAATTGCAGGTTCACTCACTGTTTTCGGGACGAAGACTGTATGGGCCTGGTCATGCATGTGGCCCGGAGATGCCACAGGGACCTGCTCGAATTTCGGACGCAATGCCGCCTGCAACTGCGGTTCATGTCCATGCAGCACTGAGCAGCAGCAGCTGCAGCAGCACAACTTTGGTTTGTGTAATTTGAAGAGGGCCCAATAGTGAAGACACCTTTGGCGTCTCTGCAAAGCCCTTCTTTGAGGAACATGGAACATAGTAGCTTTGAGGCTTCCATGATGGGCTCTTGAAAGGGCTCTGTACGGGATCTGTAAGGATTTATCTGGGCTTTGGAGTACCATTCTTTAATGTTGCTTCTTTAATGGAACCATTATGAAATAACGGTTTGTATTTTTTCCCCCTGGTTACTTAAAAAGCCCTGTAATTGGGCGCTTAAGAGTGTAGTTGCCCGAATAACAACCCTAGTAACAAAGTCCCACGGTTCTTTAGGAAGTAGCGAAACTTAACACCTTAAGCCCAAAGCTCGACGCGACCACTAGGAGGATCATGCGACTTAGCGACTACGGCTTTTATGGTGGTGCTGTCAGGGTTCTATAGGATGCCTATGAGTAACTACAGGTAGGCTTTCCTCATGTTGATATAACCCCAGCTACTAAGTCCCACGACCCTTGAGTAATCCTGACGCGCTAGGTACTCCGCATTTAAGGCATGTGGCCACCTAGAGCTCCTAAAACCTAAACCCCGAACCTTCAACTCCTATTTGAAGGATCATGGGACTTAGTAAGTAGGTTAGAATTGGGGTTATACGTCCCCCAAGTGGGATTAGCCTAAGTATAACCTACTTATAACCTTACTTACTAAGTCCCATGAGCCTTTAAGTAACAAATGCCCACTCCTGCTCCGAATGTTCGCAAAGGTCTTTTTACTAGATCTCTTGCAGTAGCAGAGCCACGGTTGGGGGTTTAGGGTTTAGGGGTTAGGGCTTTAGGGGTTTCGGGTTCAGGCTTCAGGGGTTTAGGGGTCAATTCGGGTTTAGCTTTCCGGGGGTGTTTCCAGCTCACTGGCCAGCTGAGCGCAACAGAGCTGGAGGGTCTCCACCCTGGGCTCCTTGTGGTGAGCCCTTTTGCGGCTTCCGTTAGCTTCATGTCAGGTTGACGTTGAAGCTTTGGAACAAGCTGCTGCGAAGAGGCGAATCGTAAGAATCGGGAGATCCGCTCCCCTTTTGGCTGCAGCAAAAATTTACCGCTCCCAGCTTCGCAAACGATGAAATCAGGTGACGCGTCTAGCTGAGAGAGACGTGCAACAACTTATATAATAGTCCTGCAGTGTCCCCAGTCCTGCCCCAGATGAAAGCACTGGTGGCTTGTCTGCGGACCGTGGAAAGTCAGCAGCCAAAGAAGAGAGGGACAAGTTCACGGCAGCTCCGATTGAACGCTTTGGGATATAAGGGTTTGGGGATCAAGGGAAGTGTTGAACACCCGCCCCTTTACTGTCAGGAGGATACGGGGAAGCTTTGCCCAACTCTGGGGCCCAACAGGCCCTTATCTTCCGAAACCCGTAGCGGGGGTTTAGGGTTCAGGGGACAAGACTAACTCTCAAAACTTGAAATTCCCCCAACAAAGACCACAGCAAGCCCCTAGCCCCAGCCCCCACCAAGCATGCTTCCTGTCTCTCCTGCGACAGGATCCTGAGCAGGACTACGTCGAGGCGGCGCTGATGACCGTGCTGCAGCACGCTCGCCCAGCTGATGGCATGTGTTTTGGGATTTAGAGTAGGTTCGCCCGCTTATGGCAAGTTATTCCCCGACTACCCACTATTAAGGGCTATGAGGGCTCTATTCACTGCGAAGGGTTGGGTTTCCTGCTTTAACCTGCGGCACGTCACTGTAGAGGGTTCAGGCCTACAGTTTCAGCTTTAGGGCGGCTTTTCTCGTTAAGAGCCAGAACAAGCGGACGGCTTTTCCCAGAACCTAACGCCCTAAACCCTCAACCTCTATACCCTAAACGCTAGACAAACGCTAGGCCCCTAAAGCCTAAACCCTAGGAGCCCTAGAGGGAAGCCCTAAACCTCAAAACCTTGAACCCTAAGCCCCCAAACCCTAAACCCCTCTTGAACGTCTCGGGCATTCAAGCACTGGTCTAAGAGTTGAGCGGTTTCCCCAGAAGCTAAAGCATGTTTGGAGTTTCTAGGGGCCCAAGTAATCAGCAATACTATTTGAGGGGCTCCTTGTTATACATATAGTGTAGTGGGCCCCCAAGCCCTGTTCTAAGTACTAAGACCCTTATATTACGATGTCGGGTGCAAAGGGTCTTTGGTTTTGGTGGTTTAGGGTTTAGGGTTTCCGGTTAGTCCAGCAGTGCCGTTGTGTGTTTGTTCTGGAGGGTTACTTCTTTAAATAGCCCCAAATCATGAAGAAGTCTACCCTTGCGGCTTGGGGATAGCCAGGAATTTGGATTCATGGCTGTGGGTTTGATTGGCTTCGGGAGTGGAATGACTTGTAGGAGGTGCCATGGTGGCAAGTCGGCATTTTGTCAGGACTTGCTAACATGCTTTCCGTAAGTACGTGTATCCCCTGGAAAGGTATTTGGGCTCCCTTGCGAAACTGGTCGAAATCAGTAGCCTTCTCCACAGTGCCGTATGTGAGGGGCTTCCCTTCCCGAAACCTTTAATCCCTAAACCCTGCCCATAAAGCCTTAAATTCAGAGACTCCAATATCCCTTAATTAAGGAATATTCCTTCACTCATACTAAGGATCCGGAATATTGTTTAAGGAATATTCCTTAATTCAGGGATACTGGAGTCTCTTGGAACCCCTTGAATCTGAACCCCAAAGCTGAATTCCTAAACCCTAAACCCTAAGCTCCCAAGCCCGAAAAGCCTTCGCGTTGCAAGTAGCCTAGGATACCCAGTAACCTAAGAATAAAAAGGCCTCTCTTTTTGGTATTGGGTAACTTTATAAGGAACCTAGGACTACAAAAAGGGAATAAGGGTACTACTGGAGATCCTAGTAGGGCAACCTGCAATCATACCAGGAGTCTGGTCATTTAAAACCAGGCATACTGTTGATGATATAAATCCTAGGGTTCCTTTAAAGGGATCTATAAGGGTACCTTTAAGGGGTTTCCTTTAAGGGATCTATAGGGTTGTAGTGTTTTTGGTTATGATATAAATCCGGCATTACCTTAAGGACCCTAAACTATGGGAATTATGGTAAATTCCGTCTTATGGGTAATGCAGGATTTATATCATCAACCGTATGCCCCTCCGTACGAAGTCCCATGACCTAGACGCCAAACTTAAACCCACAATAGAAGCCTCAATAATGAACAATATTGAGTTAACATTATTTCAAACGCTTCCTTCCTTAGGGATCCTTATTATGTTTACAGTATAGAATGCTCAAAACCCTAGTACTCTGATTAAGCATTAAGGCTCCTATTTCGATCGAAAGGAAGCACTGTCATAGGCCTCAGCCCTCACCAACTGCGGGGCCCCAAAAAACACGTAAGCAAAATTTAGGATAGGGATACTCCACATACGGTGAGCCCTAGAAAGTTGGAACAAGGATGTAGGAGAATCCGTGTTAGGATTCCTTCATTTCTACGTTAAGGGCATGAGGATAAGGATGTTCCAACTGTGTGGCATCTTGTCTAAACCTCCTTCTTTTGAAGAAGCCCAGCAAGGTAGGGATATCCCTACGTAATGATTATGTTTACGCCCTTCTTGTGTCCCTAGAACTTCCTGACTCTCCGGCCGTTCCCCGACAAACAACACTCAACCATGCTCATACAGTGTTTTACCGTCAGGGATGTGGGGGCTTAGAGTCAGGGTTTAAGATTTAGGGTTACGGTTTAGGATTTTGGGGTTTAGGGTTTATGTCAGGCAGGTACAGAAGAACCTTGCGATAAAGTAAGGCTAGGTTCCTGACGAATACCCTTTTGCCCTGTTTCTTTTTGGGTCTCCTGACGAAAACCGAATAGTAGGAACAAGGTACCCTTACTGTAAAAGGGGCTACCCAGGAACCTAAACCCCTGAACTCAAACCCCCCAAAGACTATGAAGATTACTAAGGTCCCTACTTGGAGGGGCAGGGGACTTAGTAAGTAGGTTATAAGTAGAGTTATAAGTACCCTAAATGGGGTTACCCCCAATTATAACCCTACTTATAACCTTACTTACTAAGTCCCCTGCCCCTCCAAGTACATTAAAGCAAATCAGGATCCATCTCACTGAGCCTTCCGGAGATATCCTCGTCTTCCTCACCGGGCAGGAGGAGATCGACACAGCTTGCGGGGGGCCCAAAAGGTGGGTCAATGCAGGGGTGCTTTGAGGGATTCTTTATGGGGTCCTTTGAGAGATTCCTTAAGGGCTCCTTTAAGGGACTTATAGGGTGTTGAAGTTTTGGGTTTAGGGTTACAGGGTGGCTTAGTAGGGGTTAGGGGTTACGGGTTAAGGGTTTAGGGTTTAGGGTCTAGTCTACCAGGGTTCTATACCAGAAGACTTGTAGAGTGGTTTGAGGTTCAATCTACGGTATAGTCTTGAACACACTGAAGGGTGCTACGTGTGTGACTGTTGAAGGAGGTTTGCCAAACCCTAAACCCTAAACGCTAAACCCTAAACGCTAACTCTGAACGCTAAACCCTAAACCCTAAACCCCTAAACCCTAACCCCCAAAACCCCTAAACCCAAAGTTTTTATCCGATTTTTGTGGCGATGCAGGGGTCGGCATGCTTAGTCACGGGTTCCATCGACGCAGCATCCCTCAGCCCCACACCCCAAGCCCTGTAAGCCCCAGACCCTAGGGTTTAGGGTTTAGGGTTTAGCCCTAAACCTTGAACCCCAAACCCCTAAAGCCCTAAGCCACGAAATCTGCTGTCCCGAAACCCTTATTGACCTAGTAGTAGTAGAGTAGGCAACCTGTATATAACCTTTTTTGGGTAGTATAGTCCCTATATAGTTCCTACATAGCCAAGAAGGTTAACCTTTAGTTCCCCATGATACCCGACAAGTAGGTAAATCCCGTAAAGGAGCCCTTAAAGAATCCCTTGAAGGACCCTAAAACCCCCTGGCACGAACCGAGGCCAGGTTCTCCACGAGCGCATGCAGAAGCTTGGCTGACTGTGGTTGAGATCAGGGGTTCAGGTTTAGTTGTTCAGGGTTGAGGGGTTCAGGTTTAGGGGTTAGGGGTTAAGGGGTTAGGGGTTTAGGGTTTAGGGGTTCAGGTTTAGGGGTTTAGGTTTTAGGGGTTTACGGTGTGGGGGTTTGGGGGTTTAGGGCTTTTGGGCTTTAGGGGTTTAGGGTTTAGGGGTTTAGGGTTTAGGGGTTCAGGTTTAGGGGTTTAGGGTGTAGGGGTTTAGGGCCTTTGGGCTTTTGGGCTTTAGGGGGTTAGGGTGTTGAACACCGGGTCTCTGAGTGTGGACGCTTTCACGCTTTCGTTCACCCACTCGTCGATGTGCCGGCGGGGGCTACTCTAACCCGCTTACACCGTCACCTACTTGGAGGATCATGGGACTTAGTATGTAAGGTTATAAGTTCATTAATTGGGGTTATAAGTAATTAGAAGTATAGTTTCCTTACTTGTAGCCCCAGTTACTAAATCCCATGATCCTTTAAGTACCCGCAGGATACAATTTATGCGCAGTTTGATGGCGGAGGCCGCCGGCGCATTCGTGCGGGAGGTGCGGGAGTCGCTCCATGGCACGGGCCGCGCTTGGCTGCGCAGACGTGTCGGTCTCGCAGCGCCCAGATGCATATGAGGCTGAGGCGGAGGCTGCCATTGCCGTGGTTGCGTACCTCGCCGGCTTTGGGCGCCTACGACGGGGTAGGGGTTTACAGTTTAGGGGTTTAGGGTTTAGGATTCAGGTATAGCTTTGTTGTGGTCGTAGGATTTTGGTAGGTTTAGGGTTTAGGGTATAACTGCTGGGGCTTTAGGGATGTTTTGGGGTATACCCCGAAGGTTTAGGATTGTCGGGCACTTTTAGGGCGTTGAGGATCTAGGGTTCGAGGGTTGTAGGGTTCCAGGGTCATCGGGCTATGGGCTCTTTGGGTTAAGGGCTCATGCGCCACGGCTCAGTCCTAAATACATAGTTGGTCTAAACAAATAATGGAACTACAATGGAGACTACAGTAGAAGCCAGAAAGTTGGAACATCGTTGTCCTCATGCCCTTAAAGCAAAGTAGAGGGATTCCTAGCATTAATCGTCCTGAATCCATGTTCCAACTTTCTGGGTTTCACTATATTATAACAATAAACTCTAAACCCACAACCCTAAATCCCAAAGCCGTGCGACCCGGGCCGCCTCCAATCTTCTCAACTCGAAAGCTTGGCAGCCGAACCCCAAAGCCCCAAACGGAGCTATAGGCTCCTTTTAAAGGGGTTCTACTTGGAGGCCCTTTTGACTTAGTAAGTAGGGTTAGTAAGGTGGGTTATGGGGTTGCTAATATGGTTTCTAGGGGATACTAAGTAGACTTACTAAGTCAAAAGGGCCTCCAAGTACTCTCAGATTTCCATGAAATAGCGGCCTGAATGATTAGCGCAGGGTGTTTGGAGTGATACTATGATATGATGTGGGTGCTGGGTGTTACGGGTTTAGATTTTTTTTGGGGGTAGATTAAAGGCTAATTAAAGGTTTAAGGTTTTAGCACATGCAGGAGGGGTTTGCAGGGTCCCCACCCCACCTATGGCCTGAACTCAAGGCTCAAGCTATTGAGCCTCGAAGAAGATGCGCACG